GAAATCATGCATTGCGCGCGCAACCTACAGATTATTCACTAATCTGTAGGTGCAGATTAGTGAATAATCTGTAGGTTGCGCTGTTTCCCAGAATTAATTGTAGGCTTTTAGCCAATGAGAAGACAGATGGTGACTACAATGTATAATAATGACTATTATCTCCTCAAGTTCAAGAAAATGAGACAATGTGTTTGTAAGGGTCATTCTAATGATAGCAAATTGCTGCAATTGACACCTGATTCTGTTTTCAAATATGGTTCTGTCACGTGTTACTGAAGTGTTACTGTAACTCCCCGCTTCTACTAAGTAGATTGACGGCGTCACCAAAAAAATAACTGAAAAAAAACATCCCTCTGAATCTGAAGATGAATCAGCCGCCGAGGTTGTCGAAACGTGAGTTCGCAATGGTTACTTACTAGGGTGGCCTGAGCCGTGAGTAGGCCACTGAATTCTGGAAAGCAGTTTCATGTCTTGATTGAAAGCGCAATGGAAAACTGAATCAGATTACGTGTACTGACCTGTTGTTCGGAAATGACTTCACCGCGCGTTTCCTGGCTGCCTGCCTCAGAATTTCAATGGCTTTGCATTGCTTCAATAAAAGTTTCATACTAATTTAAGTTTACCACTTGGTGGCAACATAAATGACTTACCTGAGTAACTGAGTACCTAAGTACCTGAGTGCTTATACAAGTAAAGATAATATTAATTTAAAGCTTTAAACTGATTTTTCCAGATCAAACCATTATGGCACAGAGTGGAAACGGAGCAGCATGTGACCGTGATGCTACATCACTTGGTACCGGACAAGAGCTGAGCTTTGATGATGACACACTGAAAGGTAAAGATTCTTACAACTGTTAATAGTGTATCACCAAAAGGCCTTAACTAAGTAAACTATGGAGAAATGAAATGAAAGTTACAGAAAAGGAAAAAAACGTCAAAAATTTGAAAACATTCAATATACGGAAGTGGTTAAAGAGTAAAAGTCGTCAAAAATTATCTCTACTGAAGGTGGTTTTTTAATTTGTTTATCTAGATTAGGGTTTTTGCAGAATTTGTGGTCGACGAATTCCTTTATTTCGCGGATTCACCGTTATATACAGAACTCACCCTGCAAGTGTGATTCCTATTTTCTCCTTGACACGAAAGATGCACACGTACCGCATAACGATTTAGTAGTGTTCTCTGGAGCGACAAAGTTAATGCATTTCTGGCTTTTTTTGGCATTTTTAAACTTCAGAAAGTGAGTAACTGAAGGACCAAATTTGCCACTGTTTCACAAGTCTGTGACCAATGTCAGTCATGTCATGGTTATCGCCATTTATGAGTTAACAAGTGACACCATTTGCCTATCCGAGGAATAAATGATCTCTGTCACATTTTTGTTTTAATCTGTAGCAAAGAGACGAAGGCGGAAATGAACACAAAAAAAGTGTACACACAATAGTCCGCATTGTACTCTTATCTTTTGTACTCACAATTATAATTCCCCTTTTATTTTTTTATACTAAAGCAAGTTTTGTTCCAAAAGGGTTATTCCGGATTTCAAGAGACGTGAATGATCGAATGCGGAAAAAAATCAAATCCTCCAAAATTCCCTGAACCAAAACTTAACCCCCAAAATAATCCTATACAGAAGTACGCACCACCAAGATTCTTCAGTTTAAGTCAAGCAAACTAAAAAAATACATGCCAAATTTTCCTACCCCAAAAGAATCTCGGCTTCGAAAATTTCAAACCCAAAAAGTCCTTCGATGATCGCCGTCACTAAAATTCGGGAGTACCTCCACTGGGGTTTCGTTCCACCCCAAATTTCTTTATCGAACGTTTTGCTTATGACGCACTTCATAACCGCAAAACAGATTGTCGAAAACGAAGCTGAATCGGAGAGACTTACAAGTAAAAAGGAAACAACTACGAATGGTAAAAGAACCAAGTATCTTCTATTTTTTGGAAACCGAAAGACACGCAACTGGAAAGCGAAGCACCCTCAACTCCAGTGAAAAGGCCCGCAATAATCTAAAATGGGTCAGTCACTTTGAAGTGTGACCATCCCCTTTGGGCATTTGCCTTGCCTCTAGGTACTCTTACCCACCGTGGGGTATTTGGAATCAAATGTTTGTCTCGGGGAGGGGAGAGTATAGAAGAGTTTTACATTTTTAGCGTCTTACATTGAGAAATTTTGCGGTATTGTGGTGTTTGGCAAATTTAATTTTCATGCGGTAGTTATGTAATTGTAGTCTTGAATTCTGATATTGTGGTATTTTTAAACATGTGGATTTTTTTTGTTATTGGCTCAGCGATTTTTAGCATGGTTGAAGTTGTCGAATTTTTCGATTTTTCTTTTCGGGGTTACGGAGTTCAGTATACCCCTAGCCGCTCCAATAGCCGCTCCAGTCTTAATTTTTGAGCATGCGTATACTTCCACTACCAAACAATTTTCATATGGTAATTTGTTATGCGGTTGAAGACCGTCGTTGAACCCATCAGCAGAAACATTTAGAAAGGCTGCATTTATATTAACGGATACAGAAATCCTATGGTGCAACCACAGCACCTTCACATATTATTATGAACATGATGATGATGATGATTATTATTGGAAAAGGTTATTTTAGTGTTAATCCATACTTAAATTTTGCTAGTTTGTAAGTTAGAAAAGTGTTGTTGTCGGTGTTGTCATAGCCGCCAAATATCTTTAAGTAGCAAACGGGATTTATCTAATTAACATTGTTTTTATCAGGAACTTTTGTAAACAAAGTATTATCAATAACGAAAGCTGTTGCATTTTATGACTATTATCGTCTTAAGTCCTATAAAGCTGTGATATACAAATAAACTTATCCAAGTTTCACTTAATTGGACCAAAAAGAAATAATGTGGTATTTAAGGGTCATTGTAATGATGACACATTGCTGCAATTAACTCCCGATTCTGTTTTTAAATATGGTTCTGTCACGATTTACTGAAGTGGCACTGTAACTCGCCGCTACTAAATGGATTGACTACGTAACAAAAAAGTAAATAATTGTCAAAAACATCGCTCTGAATCTGAAGATGAATCAGCTACCGAGGTTGCCGAAACGTGAATTCGCAATGGTTTGTTACTAGGGTGGCCTGAGCCGTGAGTGGGCCAATGAATTCTAAAAAGCAGTTTCACTCTTGATCGAAAGTGCAATACAAGTTTGATTCAGATTACGTGTACTGTCCGGTTGTATGAAAATGACTTCGCCGAGCGTTTCATGACTGCCTGCCACAATAATTGATTTGTTTCAATAAAAATTTTATTCTAATGTAAGTTTACCACTTGTGGCAAAATGAATGGCTGTTTCGGTACCAGTGCTTATACAATTGAAGGTAATATTAATTTACAGATTTATACTGATTTTTCCAGATCAAACCATCATGGCACAGAGTGGAAACGGAGCAGCATGTGACCGTGATGTTACATCACTTGGTACCGGACAAGAGCTGAACTTTGATGATGACCCACTGAAAGGTAAAGATTCTTACAACTGTTAATAGTGTATCACCAAATGGCCTTTAACACAGCAAACTAAAAGGTGTTGTTGTCAGTGTGGTCATAGCCGTCAAATATTTATTAAGAGCAAACAGGATTTATCTAATTAACAATGTTTTTATGAGGAATTTTTATCAACAAAGTATTATCAATATCGAAAGCTGTTGCAAATCATGGCTATTATCTTCTTAAGTCCCATAAAGCTATGATATACAAGTAAACTTAACCTAGTTTCACTTAATTGGACCAAAAAGAAATAATATGTTTTTTAAGAGTTATTCTAATGATGGCACATTGCTGCAATTAACTCCTGATTTTGTTTTTAAATATGGTTCTGTCACGCGTTACTGAAGTGGCACTGTAACTCGCTGCTACTAAATGGATTAACTACGTAACAAAAAAATAAATAATTGAAGAAAAACATCGCCCTGAATCTGAAGAATCAGCCACTGAGGTTGTCGAAACGTAGGTTCGCAATGGTTGATTACTAGGGTGGCCTCAGCCGTGAGTGGGCCATTGAATTCTGAAAGCAGTTTCACGTCTTGATTGAAAGCGCAAAGGAAAACTGAATCAGATTACATGACTGTCGCGCTTTTTATGACTGCTTGCCACAGAATTTTTTAATTAAGTTGTTTCAATAAAAGTTTTATGCTAATATAAGTTTACCCCTTGTGGCTAAATGAATGGCTGTTTTGGTACCAGTGCTTATACAAGTGACTTAATATTAATTTAAAGCTTTATTTAATACTGATTTTTACAGATCAAACCATAATGGCACAGAACGGAAACGGAGCTGCAAGTGAGAGTGATGTTACGTCACTTGGTACCGGACAAGAGCTGAACTTTGATGATGGCACATTGAAAGGTGAAGATTCTTGAAATTGTTAATAGTGTATCACCAAAAGGCCTTTAAGGTGATTCCTTAGTAAAAGAATCTAACATAGATTGTAGATGAAACTTGGTACACTCATATAACAAGTCAAGAGGTTGATAAAAAAAGTAATAAAAAGTGGGGGTCACGGGGCTTGTTTTGACGTCAGAATGCTGACAAATATGGCTATTTAGGACCCTTTGACAAAAACAGCGTGTAGCCCAAAATTAGACAAAAAGGAGAGGTTTTTTCGATGATGCATATGGTATCGCACAGGATTTGACTTAAATGTATTGTTTATCTACTTACGTACCAGAAAAATGCCTCTTAATACCCTTGTTTTTAATATACGCTCCAAAGCAGAATTAAATTGGACACGCGCTATTCGACTCGTGATAGCTCAATCCGTACAATTTAGTGAAATTGCCAAAAAACCGAACATAGATTTGTGCCAATTTTTTTTCTCATCGAAAGGAAGCACTGTCATCATTAAAATCATGAAATAAAAAATGGGGGTCACCGTACTCGTTTTTGCGGTAGAGCTACAGGAAGTCTGCACCAAATTGATTTTCTCCGATTTTTGAGAGAGGACTTGGGCGCGTTTCAAAATGTCATGTATGTGAAAGGGGGAAGAAAGCATTTAAAAAATCCGTTTTTGCAGAATTTACATCGAGATATCTCATTTAGGACAGATTGTGATAAAGAAAGTGTTTAAATGAAAATCAAAGAAAGAACAAGTTTAACATCCACTATCGAGGTTCTCCGTGAGGAAGTCGAACTCAGCAACACGCGCGCGTACTACTTCCGTTATGCAAATTCCCAACACACTGAGTCTCACCTCGGCAAGAAACAACCGCAAGCAAAAATTTCCAATAGCTTTTCTCTTCAGTAAACTTCATTTTAATAATGTTACTGAGATGCTTTTTTTCTTACGGCGGCCATCTTGTTATGGGCAGTAAGAGATGCGCAGTGCACTTCCAGCGAATCACCTTAACATAGCACACTAAGGAGAAATTAAATAAAAGATACAGAAAAGAAAAAAAAAACATCATTTGAAAACATTCAACATACAAAAGTGGTTAAAGAGTGAAAGTCGTTAAACATTATCTCTAGTGAAGGGGGTTTTTAAATTTTTTATCTAGATTAGGCTTGTTTTAGATTTCGTGGTCAACGAATTACTTTCTCTCGCGGATTCACCGTTGTATCCAGCACTGCATTAGCTCTCGGCAAGTACGACTCCTATTTTCCCGCCAACCCGAAAGATGCGCACGTACTGCGCATAACGCTTAGTCAAATGTAATGCATTTCAAGCTTTTTTGGCAGTTTTAGAGCTAACAAGTGATACCATATGCCTATCCGGGGAATAAATGATCTCTGTCATATTTTTTGTTTTAATCTATAGCAAAGAGACGAAGACAGAAACTAACACAAAAAAAGTTGCACACAATAGTCCGCATTGTACTCTTATCTTTTGTACTCACAATTTTAATTCACTATTTATTCTTTTTATACCATTGCAAGTTTCTTTCCAGAGGGTTATTACGGATTTCAAGAGACGTGAATGATCATTCTGCCTTGGTCAAGCCAACTAAAAAAATACTTGCCAAATTTTCCTGCCCCAAAAGAATCCTGGAATCAAAAATTTCAAACCCAACAAATCCTTCGATCATCTCCGTTACCAAAATTCCGGAGTACCTCCACTGTGGTTTCGTTCCACCCCAAATTTCTTTATCGAAAGTTTTCATCAGGGCTTATGACGTACTTATAACCTCAAAACTGTCGATTACGATGCTGAATCGTAGATATCTACAAGTTAAAAGGAAACAACCACGAATGGGAAAAGAACCAAGTATCCTCTATTTTTTGGAAACCGAAATACACTCACATGGAAAACGAAGCACCATCAACTCCGGTGAAAATGCCTGAAATAAACTACAATGGCGTGGGGTATTTGAAATCAAACGTCTGCCTCGGGGAGGGGAGAGCATGGTAGAGTTTTAAATTTTTAGCTCCTTACATTCATGAGAAATTTTACAGTCATGTGTGGTGTTTGCCAAATTTTCATGCGGTACTTATGTAATTGTGGTCTTGAATTCTGATATTGTGGCATTACTAAACAAGCGGAATTTTTTGTTTTTGGCTTGGTGATTTTTAGCATGGTTTTGTTGAATTTGTCGATTTTTCTTTGCGGTGTTACGGAGTTCGGTATACCCCTACCCCCTGCAATCTTAATTTTCGAGCATGCGTATAATTCTACTACAAGGCCGGCTTCGATAGTGTGATGTGGTGCCCAGTTGAGGGAGTAGAAGGCTTTTACTTTAGTGCCAAACAGTAATCTTCCCATGATAATTTGTTATGCGGTTGAAGACCCTCGTTGAACCCACGAACAGAAACAATTAGAAAGAAATTTATAATAATGGAGGCCGAAATCGTATACTGTAACCACAGCACCTTGACATGGTATCATTTATTATTATTACTCATTATTATTATGATTATGATTATAATTATTAGCATCATTATGATTATGCTTATGATTATTATGATTATTATTTGAAAAGGTTATTTTAGTGTTAATCCAATCTTAAGTTTTTGTAATTTGAAAGTAACAAAAGTGTTGTTGTCAATGTGGTCATAACCTTCAGATATCTATAAGCAGCAAACGGGCCGGATTTATCTAATTAACGATGTTTTTATATCACGAATTTCTATCAACAAAGTATTATCAATAACGAAAGCTGTTGCAAATTACGACCATTATCTCCTTCAGTCCTTAAAAGCTTCAAGTAAACTTAATCGAGTTTCACTTGGACCAAAAAGAAACAATATGTTTATAAGGGTCATTCTAATGTTGGTACATTGCTGCAATTGACTCCTAATTCTGTTTTCAAATATGATTCTGTCACGCTTTACTGAGGTGGCACTGTAACTCGCTGCTACTACATGGATCGATTACATAACAAAAAAATAAATAATAATAATAATAAAAAAAAAACATCGCTCTAAATCTGAAGATGAATCAGCCACCGAGATGGTCGAAACGTGAGTTGGCAATGTTTGCGGTTACTAGGGTGGCCTGAGCGAGTGGGCTACTGAATTCTGGAAAGCAGTTTCATGTCTTGATTGAAAGCGCAATGGAAAACTGAATCAGATTATGTGTACAGTCCTGTTGTATGAAAATGACTTCACCGCGAGTTTCATGAATGCCTGCCACAGAATTTTGATTGATTTGTTTCAATACAAGTTTTATACTAATGTGAGTTTACCACTTGTGGCCAAATGAATGGCTGTTTTGGTACCAGTGCTTATACAAGTGAAGATAATATTAGCTTAAAGCTTTAAATATAATTGATTTTTCCAGATCAAACCATTATGGAACAGAGTGGAAACGGAGCAGCATGTGACCGTGATGTTACTTCACTTGGCACCGGACAAGAGCTGAACTTTGATGATGACACACTGAAAGGTAAAGATTCTTACAACTGTTAACAGTGTATCACCAAAAGGCCTTTAACACAGCAAACTAAGGAGAAATGAAATAAAAGACACAGAAAAGAAAAAAAACGTCATTTGAAAACATTCAACATACGGAAGCATATGGTTAAAGAGTGAAAGTCGTTAAAGATAGTCTCTACTGAAGGTGGTTTTTTAACTTTTTATCTAGATTAGGTTTTTTCTAGAATTAGTGGCCGACGAATTCTTTTATCTTGCGGATTCACCTTCATAGAAAACACTGCATTAGCTCCCCGCAAGTATGAAAAGGAGTATAATTGGAAAAGAACCAAGTATCCTTTATTTTTTGAGGCACTTCATAACCGTAAAACAGATTGTCGAAAACAAAGCTGAATCGGAGAGACCTACAAGTAAAAAGGAAACAACCACGAATGGGAAAAGAACCAAGTATCTTGTACTTTTTGGAAACAGAAATACACGCAACTGGAAAACGAAGCGCCCTCAACTCCAGTGAAAAGGCCTGCAATAATCTAAAATGGGTCAGTCACTTTGAAGTGTGACCATCCCCTTTGGGCATTTGCGCTCTAGGTACTCTTACCCACGATGGGATATTTGGAATCAAATGTTTGTCTCGGGGAGGGGAGAGTATAGAGGAGTTTTATTATTTTTAGCGTCTTATATTGAGAAATTTTGCGGTATTGTGGTATTCGGCAAATTTTCACGAGGTACCTTTTATACCCCTAACCGCTCCAATCTAATTTTGCATGAGTATTCTTCTACTGCAAGACCAGCTTCGATAGTGTGATATTGAGCCCAGTTGCGGTTGTCGAAAGCTTTTCACTTCAGTACCAAACAATATTTCCGTGATAATTTGTCATGCGGTTGAACCCATCAACAGAAACAATTAGAAAGGCATTTATAATAATGGATGCCGAAATTCTATGGTGCAACCACAGCACCTTCACATAGTACCGTTTATTACTATCATTATTATTATTATTATTATTATTATTATTATTACTATCATTATTATTACTATTTGAAAAGGTTATTTTAGTGTTAATCCAATCTTAAGATTTGGCAGTTTATCACGAATTTTTATCAACAAAGTATTACTGATCAATAACGAATTAAGATTTTTACCTTAAGCAAATTTTCATGCGGTACTTATGTAATTGTAGTCTTGAATTCTGATATTGTGGTATTTTTAAACATGCGGACTTTTTGTTATTGGCTCGGCGCAGATGATGGCACATTGAAAGGTGAAGATTCTTACAACTGTTAATAGTATATCACCAAAAGGCCTTTAAGGTGATTCCTTAGTAAAAGAATCTAACATAGATTGTAGATGAAACTTGGTACACTGATGAAACAAGTCAGGAAGATGATAAAAAAGTGACAAAAAGTGGGGGTCACGGGGCTTGTTTTGACGTCACAATACTGACAAATATGGCTATTTAGGACCCTTCAACAAAAACGGCGCGTAGACCAAAATTAGACAAAAAGGAGAGGTTTTTTTGATGATGCATATGGTACCGCACAGAATTTGACTTTAATGTATTGTTTATCTACTTACGTACCAGAAAAATGCCTTTTAATGCCCTTGTTTTTAATATACGCTCCAACGTAGAATTAAATTGGACACGCGCTATTCGACCCGTGATAGCTCAATCCGTACAATTTAGTAAAATTGCCAAAAAACTGAACATAGATTTGTGCCAATTTTTTTTCTCATCGAAAGGAAACACTGCCCTTATTAAAAGCATGAAATAAAAAATTGGGGTCACCGTACTCGTTTTTACAGAATTTACATCGAGATATCTCAATTAGGACACAGTGTGATAAAGAAAGCGTTTAAATGAAAATCAAAGAAAGAACAAGTTTAACATCCACTATCGAGGTTCTCCGTGAGGAAGTCGAACTCAGCAACACGCGCGCGTACTGCTTCCGTTATGCACATTCCCAACACACTGAGTCTCACCTCGGCAAGAAACAACCGCAAGCAAAAATTTCCAATAGCTTTTCTCTTCAGTAAACTGCATTTTAATAATGTTACTGAGATGCTCTTTTTTTACGGCGGCCATCTTGTTATGCGCAGTAAGAGATGCGCAGTGCACTTCCAGCGAATCACCTTAACATAGCACACTAAGGAGAAATTAAATAAAAGATACAGAAAAGAAAAAACATCATTTGAAAACATTCAACATACAAAAGTGGTTAAAGAGTAAAAGTCATTAAACATTATCTCTAGTGAAGGTGGTTTTTAAATTTTTTTATCTAGATAAGGCTTGTTTTAGATTTCGTGGTCAACGAATATCTTTCTCTCGCGGATTCACCGTTGTATCCAGCACTGCATTAGCTCTCGGCAAGTACGACTCCTATTTTCCCGCTAACCCGAAAGATGCGCACGTACTGCGCATAACACTTCAGTAGTATTCTCTAAAGCTACAAATTTAATACATTTCAAGCTTTTTTGGTATTTTTAACTTCAGAAAGTGAGTAACTGAAGGGCCACATTTGCCACTGTTTCACAAGTCTGTGACCAATGTCGTAGTCATCGCCATTTATGAGAACTAACAAGTGACACCATTTGCCCGTCCAGGGAATAAATGATCTCTGTCATATTTTTTGTTTTAATCTGTAGCAAAAAGACGAAGACGGAAAAGAACACAAAAAAAAGTTTCACACGATAGTCCGCATTGTACTCTTATCTTTCGTCCTCACAATTTTAATTCACTATTTTATTTTTTTATACCATAGCAAGTTTCGTTCCCAAGGGTTATTCCGCATTTCAAGAGACGTGAATGATCATTCTGTGTTGGTCAAGCCAAGTAAAAAAATAATTGCCAAATTTTCTTACCCCAAAAGAATCCTGGAATCAAAAATTTCAAACCCAACAAATCCTTCGATCATCTCCGTCACTAAAAATCCGGAGTACCTCCACTGGGGTCTCGTTCCACCCCAAATTTCTTTATCGAAAGTTTTCATCAGTGCTTATGAGGTATTTCATAACCGCAAAACAAATTGTCGAATACGAAGCTGAATCGCAGATATCTACAAGTAAAAAGGAAACAACCACGAATGGGAAAAGAACCAAGTATCTTCTATTTTCTGGAAACCAAAATACACTCAACTGGAAAACGAAGCACCCTCAACTCCGGTGAAAATGCCTGAAATAGACTACAATGGGGTGGGGTATTTGGAATCAAACGTCTGCATCGGGGAGGGGAGAGTATGGTAGAGTTTTAAATTTTTAGCTCTTTACATTTAGAAATTTTACAGTATTGTGGTATTTGCCAAATTTTCATGCGGTACTTATGTAATTGTGGTCTTGAATTCTGATATTGTGGCATTACTAAACAAGCGGAATTCTTTGTTTTTGGCTCGGTGATTTTTAGCATGGTTTTGTTGAATTTGTCGATTTTTCTTTGCGGTGTTACGGAGTTCGGTATACCCCTACCCCCTGCAATCTTAATTTTCGAGCATGCGTATAATTCTACTACAAGGCCGGCTTCGATAGTGTGATGTGGTGACCAGTTGCGGGTGTAGAAGATTTTTACTCTAGTGCCAAACAGTAATCTTCCCATGATAATTTGTTATGCGGTTGAAGACCCTCGTTGAACCCACGAACAGAAACAATTAGAAAAAAATTTATAATAATGGATGCCGAAATCGTATACTGTAACCACAGCACCTTGACATGGTATCATTTATTATTATTACTCATTATTATTCTGATTATGATTATAATTATTAGCATCATTATGATTATGTTTATGATTATTATGATTCTTCTTTTAAAAAGTTATTTTAGTGTTAATCCAATCTTAAGTTTTTGCAAGAGACTATAAAGGGGACAGAGAGGGCATCCCCCATATACACCCTATTCCATAGGTAATTCGTCTCGAGTTATTTTTAGAATCGGGATAAAGTTACCTCGCGCGAGGCGTGGATGTTTCGTGGAGGTTTCGCTTGACCAAACGCCGTGCAAAACATGTCGGGCGAGAGGCAATGAAAGCGTAAAAAGATCGAGAGCATTCCTGAATATTGAAGCGAAATGAGTCGGCGCTCACCTGGGAAAAAGGAATCGCTGGACTCTTTGACAACCCGTGAAATCAGTTTAACTCGAAGTTGTCGTAACCTCAGTGCTTTAATAAAATGAGAAATTTCGCCGGTCTATTGAAACCGGTCGTTTGTACAATTTAGGGAGTTTAAGATCCAACGACGCGGACGACAACTAGAACGTCAAAAAAACAATAGGTTTAATTAGCAAAACAACAACTTCGCACGTGCAACACACTTTTTTGTTCATTTCTTTCCCGTTTTTGCACGACTACGACGTGAAAATGCCTAATTTCGCGTTTTATGGAGGACGTAAATAAGCAACGACGAAATTTTATTTCTCTTTCTGAGCTTGAATATGGTCCCTTGAAATTCAGCTTTAGGAGGGTTCGCCTACAATTGACAAAGTAAGTGGGTAGGAATAATCGCTATAAAGACTGAAAAAAATAAACATCAAACCAGAAATTGCTCTCTTCAAACTGTAAATTATAAATGATCCTGAGAGAATATTCAGTGTGTTAAGGATTTCCCTGCTCTACTGTTAGCTCTATACAAGAGAGGAAGGGCGATTCTTTTTTAATTTCGGTTTCGCTGACACAGCTTTCGCAGAAATCTCGCTGTAGTCGTTTTCGTCGACAAAAGGAATAGCAAAATCGCTCTCCGCGTCTTCCCCCATTTTGTTCTGCGTCATTTCGTGAAGGACGCGTGGCTCTCAGCGTGGGTCATCCACGCGGAACACATTCGCGCTATGTGATTGGCTGTTGTCTAATCCCCCTTGAGATCTGTGGTGTTAAAAATAACTCGAGACGAATTACCTATGGAATAGGGTGTATATGGGGGATGCCCTCCCTGTCCCCTTTATAGTCTCTTGGTTTTTGTAATTTGAAAGTAAAAAAGTGTTGTTGTCAATGTGGTCATAGCCTTCAAATATCTTTAAGTAGCAAACGGGATTTATCTAATTAACAATATTTTTATCAACAACTTTTATCAACAAAGTATTATCAATAACGAAAGCTGTTGCAAATTACGACCATTATCTCCTTCAGTCCTTAAAAGCTTCAAGTAAACTTAATCGAGTTTCACTTGGACCAAAAAGAAACAATATGTTTATAAGGGTCATTCTAATGATCACGGGCAGATTGCTGCAATTGACTCCTGATTCTGTTTTCAAATATGGTTCTGTCACGCTTTACTGAGGTGGCACTATAACTCGCTGCTACTACATGGATCGATTACGTAACAAAAAATAGATAATTAAAAAAAAGACATCGCTCTAAATCTGAAGATGAATCAGCCACCGAGATTGTCGAAACGTGAGTTGAAAATGGTTGGTTACTAGGGTGGCCTGAACGAGTTGGCTTCTGAATTCTGGAAAGTAGTTTCATGTCTTGATTGAAAGCGCAATGGAAAACTGAATCAGATTATGTGTACAGTCCTGCTGTATGAAAATGACTTCACCGCGAGTTTCATGACTGCCTGCCACAAAATTTTGATTGATTTGTTTCAACAAAAGTTTTTAACTTATGTGAGTTTACCACTTGTGGCAAAATGAATTGCTGTTTTGGTACCAGTGCTTATACAGGTGAAGATAATATTAGTTTAAAGCTTTAAATATACTTGATTTTTCCAGATCAAACCATTATGGCACAGAGTGGAAACGGAGCAGCATGTGACCGTGATGTTACGTCACTTGGTACCGGACAAGAGCTAAACTTTGATGATGACACACTGAAAGGTAAAGATTCTTACAACTGTTGAAAGTGTATCACTAAAAGGCCTTTAACATAGCAAACTAAGGAGAAATGAAATAAAAGACATAGAAAAGGAAAAAAGAAAAACGTTATTTGAAAACATTCAACATACGGAAGTGTATGGTTAAAGAGTGAAAGTCGTTAAACATAATCTCTACTGAAGGCGGTTTTTTAACTTTTTATCTAGATTAGGCTTTTTCTAGAATTAGTATAGGGGCCGACGAATTCTTTTATCTTGCGGATTCACCGTTATAGAAAACACTGCATTAGCTCTCGGCAAGTATGAAAAGGAGTATAATTGGAAAAGAACCAAGTATCCTGTATTTTTTGGAAACCGAAATACACTAAACTGGAAAACAAAGCACCTTCAACTCCGGTGAAAGGGCCTGCAACCAACTAAAATGGGTCAGTTGATTTGAATTGTGACCATCTTCTTTGGGAATTTGCGTTGCCTCTAGGTACTCGTACCTACGGTGGGACATTTGGAATCGAACGTCTGTCTCGGGCAGGGGAAAGTATGGTAGAGTTTTACATTTTCAGCGCCTTACATTGAGAAATTTTGCGGTATTGTGGTATTCGGCAAATTTTCACGAGGTACCTTTTATACCCCTAACCGCTCCAATCTAATTTTGCATGAGTATTCTTCTACTGCAAGACCAGCTTCGATAGTGTGATATTGAGCCCAGTTGCGGTTGTCGAAAGCTTTTCACTTTACTACCAAACAATATTTCCGTGATAATTTGTCATGCGGTTGAACCCATCAACAGAAACAATTAGAAAGGCATTTATAATAATGGATGCCGAAATTCTATGGTGCAACCACAGCACCTTCACATAGTACCGTTTATTACTATCATTATTATTATTATTATTATTATTATTATTATTATTATTATTATTATTATTATTATTATTATTATTATAATTACTATCATTATTATTACTATTTGAAAAGGTTATTTTAGTGTTAATCCAATCTTAAGATTTGGCAGCTTATCACGAATTTTTATCAACAAAGTATTACTGATCAATAACGAATTAAGATTTTTACCTTAAGTTCTAAAAAGCTACAAGTAATTTTATTTCACTTGCACGAAAATGCGATAATATGTTTATAAGGGTCATTTTAATGATAGCACATTGCTGCAATTAACTCCTGAATCTGTTTTCAAATACTGACGACGGGGATGGTTCTGTCACGCGTTACTGCATGAAGTGGCACTGTAACTCCCTGTTACTAAGTCGATTGACTACGTAACAAAATTGTTTATAACTGAAGAAAAGAACATTGCTCTGAATCTGAAGATGAATCAGCCACTGAGATTGTCGAAACGTAAGTTGGTAATGATTGGTTACAAAGGTGGCCTGAGCGAGTGGACCACTGAATTCTGGAAAGCAGTATCACGTTTTGATTGAAAGCGCAATAGAAAAGTGAATCAGATTACATGTACTGTCCTGTCTTTTTACTTATTAGTTTCTAAGAAACAGACTGGGTTATCATAATTATACTTGTAATGTTGGTAAAGCATTCTAATTACCGCGTTCTTGTGACAGCACCGTAGCCTTTATTCAATTCTTTTGCTTACAAAAGGTTAAACGGCTTCAAAGTTCAAAGGTTTAAATAATATGGAAGAAATTGAAGTTTAGATTTGGAGTCCAGAGCTTAACAAAGTCATCAAAAAATGTTTGTTTATTCACGGGCCTCTTGATAGCACAAAAATGGCAACTACAATTGTGTACTCGTAGGCTACTTGCGATCAGTCAGTTCAACGGCATAGTTCTTCGTTCTATTGAACATAGGCACGTATAACGTGCATGAGCTATCATGGATGCTTCAGTGTAACTGTACAAATGTACCTTTTTAACCCTAATTTTAGAGTGGTTTATTGTTTGAAATTGTCCGGAAATTACGTATTGCTGTACATGAAAATGATGACAGAAACAAAATCATGATGACAGCTGAAAACGCGAAAGTTACGCACAAGTTGTGTCTATCCTCATCGCTATAGAAAACTTATTAGTCCATCCAGAAGGATTATATGCTTCTGGTCCATCACACTGCGACCGACATACAAGGATATTGATACACTATAAGAACACCGACAAATGAGCTATTTTGAATGGTATAGGAAAGAAGAGGACGAGACTTAAAAAGTGTTTTCAACATGCTTTAATTTTACGACTTTAGGAACGATAGCGTTTGCAAAGTGAAAACTGTTTGAGCTGGCGATCACGTGGTGTGACCAAGGATTAGCAGTATCCTTTTACTCTAAGTTTTCCTCCATAGCAGTTTCATGTCTTGCTTAAAAGCGCAATGGAAAACTGAATCAGATCACGTGTACTATCCTATTATATGAAAATTACTTCACCGCGCGTTTCGTGACTCCCTGCCACAGAATTTTGATTGATTTGTTTCAATAAAAGTTTTATACGAATGTGAGTTTACCACTTGTGGCCAAATGAATGGCTGTTTTGGTACCAGTGCTTATGCAAGTGAAGATAGTATTAATGTAAAGCTTTAAATATACTTGATTTTTCCAGATCAAACCATTATGGCACAGAGTGGAAACGGAGCAGCATGTGACCGCGATGTTACATCACTTGGTACCGGACAAGAGTTGAGCTTTGAAGACGACACACTGAAAGGTAAAGATTCTTACAACTGTTAATAGTGTATCACCAAAAGGCCTTTAACATAGCAAACTAAGGAGAAATGAAATAAAAGACATAGAAAAGGAAAAAAAAAAGTCATTTGAAAACATTCAACATACGGAAGTGTATGGTTAAAGAGTGAAAGTCGTTAAACATAATCTCTACTGAAGGCGGTTTTTTTAACTTTTTATCTCGATCAGGCTTTTTCTAGAATTAGTGGCCGACGAATCCTTTTATCTTGCGGATTCACCGTTATAGAAAACACTGCATTAGCTCCCCGCAAGTATGAAAAGGAGTATAATTGGAAAAGAACCAAGTATCCTGTATTTTTTGGAAACCGAAATACACTCAACTGGAAAACAAAGCACCCTCAACTCCGGTGAAAGGGCCTGCAACCAACAAAAATGGGCCAGTTAATTTGAAGTCTTGAATTTGCGTTGCTTCTAGGTACTCCTACCTACGGTGGAACATTTGGAATTAAACGTCTGTCTCGGGGAGGGCAGAGTATGGTAGAGTTTTACAGTTTTAGCGCCTTACATTGAGAAATTTTGCGGTATTGTCGTGTTCGTCAAATTTTCACGAGATACCTTTTATACCCCTAGCCGCTCCAATCTTATTTTGCATGCGTATACTTCTACTGCAAGACCGGCTTCGATAGTGTGATGTTGAGCCCAGTTGCGGTAGTTGAAAGCTTTTCACTTTAGTACCAAACAATATTTCCATGATAATTTGTTATGCGGTTGAACCCATCAACAGAAAAAATAAGAAAGGCATTTATAATAATGGATGCCAAAATTCTATGGTGCATCCACAGCACCTTCACATGGTACCATTATTATTATTATTATTATTATTATTATTATTATTATTATTATTATTATTATTATTATTATTATTATTATTATTATTATTATTATTATTATCATTTGAAAATTTTATTTTAGTGTTAATCCAATCTTAAGATTTGGTAGTTTGTCACGAATTTTTATCAACAAAGCCGGTATTACTGATCAATAACGAATTAAGCTTTTTACCATAAGTTCTAAAAAGCTACAAGTAATTTTATTTCACTTGCATGAAAATGAGATAATATGTTTATAAGGATAATTCTAATGATAGCACATTGGTGCAATTAACTCCTGAATCTGTTTTCAAATACACGCCGGGGATGGTTCTGTCACGCGTTACTGAAGTGGGACTGTAACTCCCTGTTACTAAGTCGATTGACTACGTAACAAAATTATTATTTAGAACTGAAGAAAAAGAACATTGCTCTGAATCTAAAGATGAATCAGCCACCGAGATTTTCGAAACGTAAGTTGGTAATGGTTGGTTACAAAGGTGGCCTGAGCGAGTGGACCACTGAATTCTGGAAAGCAGTATCACGTTTTGATTGAAAGCGCAATAGAAAAGTGAATCAGCTTACATGTACTGTCCTGTGATATGAAAATTACTTCACCGCGCGTTTCATGACTGCCTGCCACAGAATTTTGATTGGCTTTTTTTTTTCGGCAATAAAAGTCTGGAAAATGAAGAAATGATCGTCGCAGTGAACGCAATTTATGCAATTGCGTAAAGAAGCCTGAAAAAAAATTCAGGACCTCAACGGGGTTTGAACCCGTGACCTAATGTTAGTTTACCACTTGTGGCAAAATGAATGGTTGTTTTGGTACCAGAGCTTATACAAGTGAAGAGAATATTAGTTTAAAGCCTTTTACTGATTTCTTCAGGTCAAACCATTATGGTACAGAGTGGAAACGGAGAAGCATGTGACCGTGATGTTACGTCACTTGGTACCGGAAAAGAGCTGAACTTTGACGATGACACAATGAAAGGTAAAGATTTTTACAACTGTTAACAGTGTATCACCAAAAGGCCTTAAACATTTGAAAACATTCAACATACGGAAGTGCATGGTTAAAGAGTAAAAGTCGTTAAATAGTTTCTCCACTGAAGGTGGTTTTTTAATCTTTTATCTAGATTAAGCTTTTTCTGTAATTTGTGGCCGGCGAGTTCTTTTAAGGCTTTTGGATTCACCGTTATAGACAGCACTGCATTAGCTCCCGGCAAGTATGATTCCTATTTTCCCGCCAAACCGAAAGATGCACACGTACCACATAACGCCTTAGTAGTACGTGTTCCTTCTGGAGCTACCTATTTAATGCATTTCAAGCTTTTTCGAAATTTTTAACTTCAGAAAGTGAGTAATTGAACGAGCAAATTTGCCACTCTCTGTAACTAATGTCATTGTCAACGCCATTTATGAGTTAATAAGTGACACCATTTGCCTGACCGGGGAAAAAATGATCTCTGTCATTTGTTTTTTAATCGCCACTTGTAGCAAAGAGATGAAGATGGAAATGAACACAAAAAATATTTGGATACGGTAGTCCCGTGTTGTACTTTTATCCTACTCACAATTATAATTCACCATTTTATTTTTGTTTTCTTTCTTTATTTTTTCTATCACTCTTCCTGTCGAAAGGATCAGTTCACGATTCAAGCTCTCGCGTCGAGGATACTGTACTGACATTGAAAATAAACCTACGAACCAAATTTGGAACACTTATAAAGCCCATGTTCAGTAGTTTTGATGTAGTTATTTTTCGATTTAATGGCATAATAAAACAACCTGCTTTATTTTTAGCAATAGCTGAAGTCTACACAACCGAAGGCAATGAAGCATGCTTAAAGGAAGATTACAGTAACGCCGGTTACTTTTATACTGAGGGAGTTAAAGTAAACGGCAAGGACGAAGACCTAGCAGTATCCTTTTACTCTAAGTATTCCTCCATAGCTGAAAGATGATTTATTTTCACAACTTGTTATACACCTGCACTTCCGTTACGATCTGGTTACCATTTTTATCGACTAACGGTTCGGTGCTTATTTGAGGGCGGTGCTTATCTAAACTTCTTCTGCGAATTACACAGAAGTACGTGATATTTTCTTAGTATTTCTTTGTTTTGCTCATGAGCGACCCCCAAAACACAAACGTTATTTCTAATAAAAGTGAGTTTTTAAAAAGTCTGTGTAGCAATAACAGTGACAGCAATATTAACAAGAGAGGATTATCCTCTCTTTAACTATGTTGCTGGGAGCTTGCTGCGTTTACTACAGTCATACCTGTATCGTCTGTCACCCTTAAGATATGGGCGACCGCTATATATAAGTTTCCTGTAAACTAAACTGGATGTTGAGTTCGTCCAACGTTTGTAGCTATAGTTTCCTCCATTCGATTGCCATGAAATGGCTAATTGATTTGACGATTTCGCTAGAATTCATTTTTCCGTGTACTTTGGAGGACACACAGCAAAGTTTGCTGCATGATTTGATCGTAATCCTATTTGTTGACCTTTATACACAGGTAAAAAATAATGCAATCGTGCATTTTGGGAGTCTAAAGGGGGCCGGACCGCATTCGTTTTAGAGAGGTGACCGCTCTACACAGATCAACTTTCGGAGAGTTGTCCAGTAGCCGTAGTATATAGGGTGACCGATACATACAGGGCCATAATATACAGGTTTGACCGTTTTCTTTTTTTTGCTTCTAAACAGGCTGCTCATAAGGCGCAACGCTCTGACCGATTTAACACGGTACACGTTCTTTTTAAAACATTTTTGCTTTCCAAGCCAAAAAGGGGGGGGGTGTATCTTTTTGTTTTCACCTTGTTGTATATGATTTGATACAACCCCGTGGTGGACTAGAATCACAACAAGATGAGATAAGTTAATTATATTCCACCTACTGCAAGCATTCTTAACTTCAACTTAATTTCGATATTATTTACACCTTAACAATTTGAAAAGATCGACACGGAAAACACCACGTTGCTTGAACTAAGAAAACTGGCGTTGAACTGCGTAAATAAAACGACGAGTAGAAGAGCCGTGGAGAACGAGGTATTTTGTTTTATTTCTTATATAAAAGGGCATTTTGAATCGTTTTGCCTTTAAATTGTCGAAGTGACATACATATTACATATTAATACTTTTTGCTGATGATACCATATGGTTGACTCTAATAGAAGAGATTCCATCGATACCACCATTCGTTCCTTTTCGGCGAATGTTAAATACAGTCGAATGGCTGGTTCGTCTTTCTTGCATTGAACTCAGCTGTTTCGATTCAACCAATGATCAGTGATGATGGAGCTCGAAAAGGTTATATATGAGATTTCAAGGGTTTGAATTAATGTTGATGGAAGTTAATGTCTATTTTCTATCCACATATACAGCATTCCCTAATTAAAATAAATATTAGTTCATAACTACTAGAAAAGACATAGTGTCCGAAAAATAGTTTCCTTAAAGAAACTTTAGGAGCTTTCCATTCAAACAAAACGTCAGCTTGCTGGAATTTTCGGCATTTTCCCGTAGCAAATAGAACAGCATCTTTAAAAACTTCCAAAAAAGAGGACAACCTCGCGAGGTATACCCAATTTTTTTCCCGGAAGTTTTCTTTCCATTCATTTTTGCTTCGGGGATTTCTAGGCCGAATTTTCCTTTGAATGGTTCGCATTTCGGAAATTCAACAGTTTCGACAATTTCTGGAAACATGTCCTGGAAATTTCTGTACCATTTGCCTCTGTTTTCAAATTTTCGAAAGGTTTGGTTGAATGGAAGGCCCCCTTGATTCTCTGTGCGATAACTTTCATAGTCGAGAAAATAAATGAACGGGGAGTCAAGGCGGACTGGTCAAATATCAGCTCTTGTAGTATCCGTTTAAGAAATACAGTTCATCAGTAATACCCCTATACTTGAGAGAGCAGGAGACACTCTGGTACTCTAATACTCAGAAACTTGCTGTCCGAGCTATATTATGTGCTAATCTGTTTTCAGAACCACAATCTCACGCAAGTAATAATAGTGGGATTTTGTATTGCTGGGGATTTGGCTGCAGCAGTATTAGCGGGAGTCGTCCAAAATCTCGACGTTAAATCCGCTAGAAAAGAGTTGACTGTTCGTATTGCGACAAAAAATCTTGCCGGCTATTTTCTTCCTCACGAAGGGTATAACTTTACATTAAAAACATCTTCTATACCATAACTTGCTTCAAAAGAGGGTTTGTTTTACATATTTTATAGGCATGCCCAGGAAGTAAAGGTAAACATGGAAAACCCGACCAAACTTCCAAAACGAATTGGTTGTACAGTAATCACCTTGGACTGAAAGCTTCAAAACGCGGTGATTTTAAAATAGCCCGGGATTACTTCGAGATGTCATTGAATGAAGCCAAACAGATCCGGAACAAAGACGCAGAAGGAGTTAGCTATAACAACCTTGGCGAAGCATATCTGTCTCTCAGTGATTTCAAAAAAGCAATCGAGTTTTATCAGCTGGCTCTAAAAATCGCAAAAGATACTGGAAACAAAGATCAAGAAGCAAGTATATATAACAACCTTGGCCTTGCCTATCAGTCTCTCAGCGAGTTCAAAAAAGCAATCGAGTTTTATCAGCTGGCTCTAAAAATCGCAAAAGATACTGGAAACAAAGATCAAGAAGCAACTACATATAAAAACCTTGGCAGTGCCTATCAGTCTCTCAGTGATTTCAAAAAAGCAATCGAGTTTCATCAGCTGGCTCTAAGAATCGCAAAAGATACTGGAAACAAAGATCAAGAAGGATCTATATATACCAACCTTGGCAGTGCCTATCAGTCTCTCAGTGATTTCAAAAAAGCAATCGAGTTTTATCAGCTGGCTCTAAGAATCGCAAAAGATACTGGAAACAAAGATCAAGAAGGATCTATATATACCAACCTTGGCCGTGCCTATCAGTCTCTCAGTGATTTCAAAAAAGTAATCGAGTTTCATCAGCTGGCTCTAAGAATCGCTAAAGACACTGGCGACAAAGATCAAGAAGCAAATATATATAACAACCTTGGCAGTGCCCATCAGTCTCTCAGCGATTTCAAAAAAGCAATCGAGTTTTATCAGCTGGCTCTAAAAATCGCAAAAGATACTGGAAACAAAGATCAAGAAGCAAGTATATATAACAACCTTGGCAGTGCCTATCAGTCTCTCAGTGATTTCAAAAAAGCAATCGAGTTTTATCAGCTGGCTCTAAAAATCGCAAAAGATACTGGAAACAAAGATCAAGAAGGAACTATATATAACAACCTTGGCCTTGCCTATCAGTCTCTCAGCGAGTTCAAAAAAGCAATCGAGTTTTATCAGCTGGCTCTAAAAATCGCAAAAGATACTGGAAACAAAGATCAAGAAGCAACTACATATAAAAACCTTGGCAGTGCCTATCAGTCTCTCAGTGATTTCAAAAAAGCAATCGAGTTTCATCAGCTGGCTCTAAGAATCGCAAAAGATACTGGAAACAAAGATCAAGAAGGATCTATATATACCAACCTTGGCAGTGCCTATCAGTCTCTCAGTGATTTCAAAAAAGCAATCGAGTTTTATCAGCTGGCTCTAAGAATCGCAAAAGATACTGGAAACAAAGATCAAGAAGGATCTATATATACCAACCTTGGCCGTGCCTATCAGTCTCTCAGTGATTTCAAAAAAGTAATCGAGTTTCATCAGCTGGCTCTAAGAATCGCTAAAGACACTGGCGACAAAGATCAAGAAGCAAATATATATAACAACCTTGGCAGTGCCCATCAGTCTCTCAGCGATTTCAAAAAAGCAATCGAGTTCTATCAGCTGGCTCTAAAAATCGCAAAAGATACTGGAAACAAAGATGGAGAAGCAAGTACATATAACAACCTTGGCAGTGCCTATCAGTCTCTCAGCGATTTCAAAAAAGCAATCGAGTTCTATCAGCTGGCTCTAAGAATCGCGATAGATACTGGAAACAAAGATCAAGAAGGATCTATATATAACAACCTTGGCAGTGCCTATCAGTCTCTCAGCGATTTCAAAAAAGCAATCGAGTTCTATCAGCTGGCTCTAAAAATCGCAAAAGATACTGGAAACAAAGATGGAGAAGCAAGTACATATAACAACCTTGGCCTTGCCTATCAGTCTCTCAGCGATTTCAAAAAAGCAATCGAGATTTCTCAGCTGGCTCTAAAAATCGCAAAAGATACTGGAAACAAAGATGGAGAAGCAAGTATATATAACAACCTTGGCACTGCCTATGATTCTCTCAGTGATTTCCAAAAAGCAATCGAGTTTTATCAGCTGGCTCTAAAAATCGCAAAAGATACTGGAAACAAAGATCAAGAAGCAAGTACATATAACAATCTTGGCAATGCCTGTCAGTCTCTCCATAAAAAAGAAAAAGCAATCGAGTTTCATCAGCTGGCACTAAAAATCGCAAAAGATACTGGAAACAAATATCAACAAGGTGCTATATATAAAAGCGTTGGCTGCGTCTATCAGTCTCTCGGTGATTTGGAAAAAGCGATCGAGTGTTATCAGCTGAGTCTAAGAATGGCGAAAGATACTGGAGACAAAAATGGAGAAGGAACTACATACATCAACTTCGCTGGTGTCTATGCGCATCTCAGGGATTTCAAGAAAGCAATGGAAAATTATCAGTTAGCCATAAGTATAGCAAACGAGACTGGAAACAAAGATGCAGAACAACGTGGATATGATAACCTTGCTTGTGTTCTTTGGTTTCTTGGCGACTACTTCAAAGCCGAGCAGTGTTTTAAATCCTGTATTGAACTGGTAGAGGAAATGAGAGTCCTCCTTCAAGGAAACGACGAGTGGAAAATCGCCTTTCGGAATGAACGTGATTGCGTTAGTCGTTTAGTGAGACTGCAATTACAACAACGCACTGAACGTAAGACACTCGAGGCGCTTTTAACAGCTGAGAGGGGACGTGCAGAAGCTCTCGTGGACCTCTTGGAATCGCAATATGGCGTCAGGAAATCGATTTGTTCGTTGTCGAAACAGCAGACGGAACTTATCATTTCAAAACATATTTCGTCACCCACGTTATTTCTAATGAATGATACCCAGTCAGTGAATATCTGGATGCTGTTAAAGGGGGGAAAGCAGTGTGGGTTTGTGCAACAGGGAGTCAGTAATGACTTGACATCAATGACATACCAAACCTACAAACAGATTGGTGTGAACAAAAGCCTGTGGAAAAAGATTCTCTCCCGGAAAGAGATTGAAGACCAGGGTGGTGCTTTAAAAGTATTGTACGACATGATTATCGCCCCATTTTCACACTCGATAGAAGGTGATGAACTCGTCATTGTCCCTGACGGTTCATCATTCTTAATTCCTTATGCTGCCCTTGTGGACCAAAATTCCAGGTATTTATCTGAAACGCTTAGAATTAGATTGGTTCCATCACTGACAACCTTGAGGCTGCTGGCAGAATGTCCGGAGGGCCGCCATAGTACATCGGGGGCTCTACTTGTTGGCAACCCGTGGGTGGAAACTGTACGCATCAAAGGCTGCAGACCGTTTTCGCAGCTTCCAGGTGCTGAGGAAGAGGTAAAAATGATTGAACAAATTCTAAACATCGAGCCTCTCACCGGAAAGAACGCTACAAAAGATCGGGTCTTAAGCGGGCTCAACTCAGTTTCGTTAGTGCACATAGCAGCACGTGGCCGTGCAGAAACCGGAGAAATTATTTTGTCTCCTAATTTTCCTAGTGCCAAAAGACCTAAAGAGAAAGATTTTCTTTTGACGATGGCAGATGTGTTGGATGCAAAAGTGCACGCCAAGCTTGTTGTCTTGAGCTACTGCAACAGTGGTCGAGGAAAGGTCAAAGTAGAAGGCGTGGTTGGTATTGCACGTGCCTTTTTAGGAGCCGGTGCACGTTCTGTTATTGCGACGCTGTGGCACATTGACGAAGAAGCCACTCTTGCATTTATGAGACACTTTTACGAACATTTAGTAGCAGGGCAAAGTGCAAGTAAGTCACTTCATCAGGCCATGAAAAGGATGCGGGAGTCGGAAAAATTCAATGCCGTGAAGCACTGGGCGCCATTCGTTCTGATTGGTGATGACGTGACATTGAATTTTGGCCAATGAAAGGTGAGGTCCTCACTGTAAGATAAGGTAGAAAAATAATTGCATGTTCATAGGCCTGAGAAATAAAGGGGCTTTTTACCTCTGGCTCTTAAATCTCTAACTCCTGATTGTTTGGAGAGGAAGCCTTTTATTTTCATTAAATTACGATTGAGAAACAAAGAACGCGACAGAAAAGTGGTCATTTATTAATCCGCAGATCAGCAGAATAACACTTTGAACAACTGATGTAATAAACAAGAAAATGGGAAACGAAGATCTAGCTTCATTTGAATTTTCACACCTGAGTTTGTCATTCATAGGTTAAAAAAGAATCAATAAAATTTAAAAAGAAATACATAAGTAAATCAAGCTTAAAAGATTTCATCTCTAAGACGTCAATACTTCAGAGTCTATCACCATTACTGTTTTCACTTGATTTTGACTTCTAAGAAGCATTTCCTTTCATGTTCGATTCAGTTAAAGAATTATCCACGGCTTCAAGAATTAATGCACCTGCACGAAGAAAGAGTATTGTGAGCAGGGCAAATAACTCGGCAAAGTGCTTTTTCCTTCTGAGGCCTACACCGCTTCTTTCAAAAGTCAAATGGATAAATACATACCCAATTCCAGGCCTTGCTTCTAGGGAGCACAAATTTTAGGCTCACCTGATTTCGCACCTAAAATCTATACCCAATTTCAGGTCAACAAAATCTATATTCCTTGGGCCACACATACCGTAAATCCTCTATTAAGCCTCCCCCCCCCCCCCCCC